ATATATATATATATATATATATACATACATAGGTGTAAATGTGATTCCTTGTGCAACCACTTGATGCCGCTCTAGTCACAGCACAAACACTTAGTGAGACGCTATGAAAATAAACCCTTCACAAATGTTGCCATGCTCTTAACCTTCGGTCACAACTAATGATGTTATTTCATGTAGCACATTACAGAAGCTCCAAATTACTCTCTGAACATATTATGTAATTAGCAGTCACTTTTATTTAATGCCTCATCCTCACCATCTAAACCATATATTTTCCAGGTGCTTTGGGATGCTGCTTAGTCCTGGTCAGAAGGTTCAAAACAACGACATGCACCTCCTTGATATGGTGAGACACATTTCTGGCTCCTCTGAGTTTTTCCCAGCATTCTCGGGATGTAACTGCTTGTGGTTTAACTCTTATAGCTGTACCTCAGGCTCAATATTATATGTTAATTTCCTATATCTTGACTCATTTTAATTACCACTCTGTTGCCAGTTTTAGAAACACTTAATGGAAATATAGGCTTTTTTATTATTCATTGAAAACGTCATTTAACGTTGGCCCTTGAGCAAATTAAGTTATGGCGGTTTGCACATCAAGACCAAAAACAATTAGCAGTTCAATCAAGCATAATTGGGTTCATGGAGATTGTTGAATCAAACATCGTTCAAGGTTTAGTGTCGTACTTTTCTCCATGTTGCCATCTGGACAGTTTAGACAAATGTCATCATTTGATGCTTTGCCCAGTTTTTTTTATGATACATGTTAATGCAATTAACCTCAATTTTTCTGCAAAAATATACTGCATTTCGTTTTGATGCATTCAGTTCCTCTTCTAAAGAAACAAACCACAGTTAAATAAAGAAGTCTTGTTAATGCTGTAGCAGGTGGTTTTCATGATATTTAATGAGATTCTGCCATGCAAAGACTGCAAATGACTTTGCTTTTAATAAAAGTCCCATATGAGTTTGATTTATAGATATCTAATTAGCCATTAAAAGGGTCTTTCTCCGTAATTTCCTCCAACTACTCTTTAGAAATCACTCCCAAATGAATAAAACGCATGTCAGATTAGATAAATGAATTTGATACTTAAATTTAACATATTTAATGAAACTCCGATTTTATCCAGTAACCCTAGTCATTATATAAGTGATGAAAACTTATCTTGTGGTTGTGTTTGAAGGAGTCTATGGGCAAAAGTGCTGATGGGAAGGCGTATGTGATCACTGGCACCTGGAATCCAAACACTCCGGCTTTCCAGCCACTGAACGAGGACACGCCGAAAGGTAAGAGTTAATACACAATCCTTGGTTATCAAGAGTCTCTAGTGCTTTCATTGCACACCATGCTGTGACCAAGTTTACAGGTTTTACAGAAATTCACACTTTTTCTGCCATCTATTTTTTTCTCACGTTACTTGCAAGCCTTTCGGTTTTCACTGCTTCAGCCATGTTGAGTATCTATTACTCCGGCGTTTCTTGTCATGGTCAAAATGTGTCATCTTTTACATCGTTTTATTAATACCATATATAAATAAAAATATATTCATATTGAAAGTGTTTTTTATTGACATTGTAAGCTTTAAATGTACATAATTTTTGTATAATTTAAATTATATATATATGTATGTAAAGTACATTGTAATTTTTTTTGTTAAATTTGATAGATTTTATTTAATATATTTTATTTTAATATAATATAAAAATGTTATTATAGTAAATGAAAACACTTTATAATTATAAAAAATATCTAAACTCACTTATTAATATTTCATTGTCAAGGTTGTCTGTAATACTGATGACAAGAAAACTGTCAAAAACGGACAAAAATACTGATGAAAAAAATAAGATATAATATATAATTTGTTAATATATTTAAATTATATATTTTGATAAAAATACATTTCATTATTTTTATAATGAAAACTGCTTACAAGAAAACACTGATTTTAAAAAATGAGATATAATTAAATTTTATATGAATATATTTAAAATATATGCTTTTATAAAAATACATTTCATTTCACTAATACATTTATATTAATATAAAAAAATTATTATAGAAAATAAATACATACTTTATAAAAAAAATATCAAAACTCACTTAATATTTCATTGATAAAGTTGTTCTTTGTTAAAAGAATTAGGATATAATTTAATTTATTTATTAATGTATTTTTATAAAAGCATATTAAATATATTTCATTTTTTCACTAATAAAATTATTTTAATATAATATAAAAATGTTGTTATAGTAAATAAATACATTCACTTTATAATTATAAAAATATCAAAACTCACTTAATATTTCATTGATAAAGTTGTCTGTAAAACTGATGATAAGAAAACACTGATTAAAATATAATAAAATTTTATATTAATATAGTTAAAATATATGCTTTTATAAAAATACATGTCATTATTTTTATAATGAAAACTGATGACAAGAAAACACAGATTTAAAAAAAATTGTGATATAATATAATTACATTTTATAAATATATTTAAAATATATGCTTTTATAAAAATACATTTTATTTTTTCACTAATAAATTTATTTTAATATAATATAAAAATGTTATTATAGTAAATAAATACATACACTTCATAATGAGAAAAAATATCAAATGTCACTTAATATTTCATTGACAAGGCTATCTGTAAAACTGATGACAAGAAAACACTGATTAAAAAAAAAAAAGGAAATCTAAGTGGTCCAGATTGGAACAGGAAGCACTAATGGCCTCTTTATTTAATGACTCAAAATACTTGAGTACCAGTAATCCTAATCATGGTGTGTGTATTGTTGATTTGGTATGAGGCCAAACTGGAAGCAGTGCGTCTCGTAACTGCAGCTTTAATGTTCAGTTGTGAAATTATGTGGAGTTTACTTTGAAATTTAATTCCAGTCTGGTAGATTTAGATTACCACCTCAGTTTAAATAGCGTTTAATTCAGCAACTTGAGTTTTTGATTTCAAGTCTACACTTTATTACACTCACAGTAAAACAGTTCACAGACCTCGGCGTGGTTTTGTGCCTGTTTGTAAGTCTCAGTCGTGCCCACCCCAGATCTTCTATTATTTACCTCCCCATCTTTCTCACCGCCATCTTTTCTGACCTGACTCTATTGTAATTGGAATCTATTTTCAGCGATTCCCTCATAAATCTGTAACTGTTGCCGTCTTTGTTTCCTGTTAATTGAAATAATACAACCCCCTTAGTGTGAAACGGACTAGTTTTCACTCATTCGGGATTTGTTTCTCTCAGCGGTCTGCTTTTTTAAATAATTATAGGGCTCACCTGAGAGAAAATATCATGAGATCAGTTCCCAGAATGCTATATTTTACCACAGTTGACTGGAGATAAATAATCTAAGCTGATTCTACTCTTAGTTTGAGTGTAAACGTGCAGGAATTTTTTTTACACAGTTGCATTTGACGTGTGTGAAAAGAGCATGCGATGGGAAATAATGTGGGTGGGGCTTGGTTTGAATTTGATTGGATTGTGAAAAATGGGTTTGTGTTGTTACTGGTTAATATTTTCTCCACACACATTGAGGCAGGATGTCAGTTTTGTCTTTAACTGTGAGTTTATTTCTCCTCCAGACAAGCAGGTATACATGACGGTGGCAGCGGACCTGGTTGTGACCGAGGTTGTAGTACATGTTCGGTTCCTCATGAAGGCGCTAGTGCGGGTCTATCCGGCTAATGAGAGGTTCTGGTATTTCAGCAGGAAGGCCTTCTCTGAAACGTTTTACCTCAAGCTCAAACAGGTACATTAACCCCCTGGGGTCGACGGTCGCGCCGGCATGACCAGCTCACTTTTTTTAAGATCGGTGCGAAAGGCACTAAAAATACTAAGATTTTGGTCACACAAATAAATGTTATATATCATTCAAAACTGTTAAGTGTCTACTTTTATTTGTGTAAACTCACAATAACAACAAAACTTTGTGCTTTTGTAAAATAAAGAAAACAAACAGGGTGCGTTCTCTGTCTTCACTGTCTCCGCGAATATCCATCTGAAACGTGTCACTAAAATGAAACTCAGCGAATACTTGATACAGAGACATGAGAGATATATCTATAGAAAGCTTGGAGTGTCTACTTTTAAATGAAGTAAGTCTTATCGAAAACAAATATTCTGTGATAAAGTAATCCGTATGAAACCAACACGATGTTCAGTCTTTCCCGTCTAAACTCATTATCTCTAATGTGATCCCGCCCACGCGCGGCTCGCGCCCTTCATATGTAAATATCCAAAAAATGATTTATTATTTATTATTATTATTTTATTTATTTTTTTTCCACAAAATAATTAAATACATTTAAAGGGATAGTTCACCCCCAAAATGAAAATTCTGTCATTAATTATTCACCCTCATGTCGTTCCAAACCCGTAAGACCTTCGTTCATCTTCGGAACACAAATTAAGATATTTTTGATGAAATCCGAGAGCTTTCTGACCCTGCATAGACAGCAACTCAACTGAATGTTCCCAGACCCAGAAACATAGTAAGGAAATCGATAAAACAGTCCATGTGACATCAGTGGCTCAACTTCAATTTTGCGAAACTACGAGAATACTTTTTGTGTGCAAAGAAAACAAAAACAACATAATTCAACAATTCTTCTCCCCGAGTTACCATCTTCCACTATTTTGGAGAGTACCATGACGCATACGCGTGCTTTCCCCAGAACGTAAACAACGCTGATTACTTTGATTACTCTATGGGGAAAGCGCGCAAAATTGCTTCGCAAATTTAGCTTCGCAAAAACTGATTACGTTATTTCATTAATTATAATGAAATAAATACGAATAAAAAATATATTATTAAGTGACTGGGTTCAAAGAAAGTAGTTAAAAAATTATACACCTTTTATTTCAATATATCATTCATTTTACCTTTAGTTGTCATGAAAGTAATGTGACGGTGCCAAAATTCAAAAATCATTATGCTTACAAAATCGAATTTTTAATATGACCTGGAAATATTTTTGACAGGCTAGAGATTCACCAATTTCTTGCAAAGCCTGTGAACTTCTTATGAACAGTTATAGGCTGCGATGTAGCGGCTGCACAGATTGGAGAACAAACCTTGAGGAAGGAAGTGAGTTTTTGTGAAGGGTGAATAGGAGCAGTAACTCCTGGAAGCTGTGAAGCGGCAAATGGAGGCTTTGTATAATTCGTAGCTTAATAAGAGGCCCGGCGCTCATTATCATGCTCAAGTAATTAGAGCTTGCTGCCTGCATCTCTGCCTGATTGCCTCCGTAGTTATCTTATCGCAGAGAGAAAGAATGCCTGGGCTGTAGTTAAAAGCTAATTAAAAGATAATATTATGGCGTTAGTGATAGACCCAGCCCATTCTGCACATTATTTTATTATTTCGTATTTGTTTACGCTGCTCATTAGGTGCAAGGAATTAGTGTGTAATTATTCTGGCTGTAAACATCATTCTTCGCCTGTAGTACAGTTCCACTTTGCAATTAAGAATGGAAACGGTGGTTTACATAAGAGCCACATGGCACGAGGGAAGCGGCGTCAGTAGGAATGTTTGTAAGAGTTACTGGAAGCGCAGTGGTACAGGTGTGATCTCTGCCAACCGCATCAAAGGGCTCTTTTTATGCTCTATCATCACTTGTTTTAATTTCCTCCTGTGCGTGTAATTATGTATTTGTCATTTCCCCTGAAGCGGTGGCGAAGGTGAAGCTAACTTTGAGTGCTTTGCTCGAGCTGCAGACTTTGAGCAGTTCATCTAAAAATTAAAATTCTGTTATTTATTCACCCTTGTGTTTTTGACCAATATGACCTTTATTATATTTATTTATTTACATAATTGTTGTTCTATACGTAATTATTTATATTTAAGTATTGTATTTATTGTATATATAAATATTTTATGCACATCATATATTTATTATAAGTTATTGAATTAATATCTATATCACATTCATACATTAATAAAAGTAAAAAATGTATTTATGTAATATTTGTTGTGTGTGTGTGT